GCAAGAATGATATTATAAGAGCGGTTAAACCCAGAAGCCTCTGAGTTATGGATTTGTGATTTAATATAAAAATAAAATAAAATTTTGATTTGTGATTTAATTTTTTTTATAATCATTTTTTTTATTATAACAAAAATTATTTTGTGATTTAAATTAAAATAAAAAAAATTATTATTAATAAGGAAAACAAAATAAAGATTTGATTTGTGATTTAAACTAAAAAATCAATTTGAAAAATCTGTAGAAATAAAGGAAATAATTAAATAAATACTCTAAATCACTAAGAAAGAAGGATATTATTTTTGAAATTAATGATTAATGCTATAAGCTTCTGGGTTATTATTTGTGGTCTGAAATTAATTATGGTTTATGAATGTTTTTCAAAAATAAAATTATCTAAATTAGGCGTGATTGCCTCTTGATTGAAACCCAATTTATACGTCATTGGTGACGTGTCAGGTATTGACACGTGTCACATTTTTAAACTCAGAAGCCTCTGAGTTCAGAGTTTGTGATTTAATATAAAAATAAATCAAGATTTGATGTGTGATTTAAATTAAAAAATAACAATTATTATAATAAGGAAAACAAAATAAAGATTTGATTTGTGATGACCATTTGTGGGAAAAAAATTGAATTTTTATTTTTTAAATCGAATAATTTAATGACCATTTGTGGTGGCAGACAAGGCATTGAATGTCCCACTGTCCATCACATTGGTATTCAAAAAGAAATCAGCTGTTTTAATTGCTTTTTATGTTGAAATTGGTTACCTGATATAAAATTCAAAATTTGAAATGATTTAAAATTTTGAATTGAAATATGGATGGTTGGAAAAGAATTTTTTTTAAAAATCAAATTTTAATTTTTAAATCGAATAATTAAATGACCATTTGTGGTGGCAGACATAAAAGAATAATTAATTAATAAATATGGTTTTGAAATTCGAAATTTTAATTGGATAATCAGGTGTTTTAATTGCTTTTTATGTTGGAATTGGTTGTGTGATCTGAAATTCGAAATTTGAAATGGTTTAAAATTTTTAATTTAAATATGGATGGTGGGAAAAGAATATCTTTTAAAAATCAAATTTTAATCTTTAAATCGAATAATTTAATGACCATTTGTGGTGACAGTCAAGGCATTTAATGTCCCACTGCCCATCACATTGGTATCCAAAAAGAAAACAACTGTTTTAATTGTTTTTTATGTTGGAATTGGTCATCTCATCTGAAATTCGAAATTTTAAATGGTTTATCAATTAAATTTCGAAATTATGTATTTATTTTTCACAATCTGAAATTCAAAATTTTAAATTCAATAAAAAGAAAACTCTTTTCACGGACATGCATTCACGATCTCTATTCATGGAGATCAATAGACACAAAAACAAATTTCACAATTGTTGAAGACCTGATTGTCATTCAATTCACAATTTCGTTATGGTTATTTTTTAAATAATATATACACAATAATGATATAACAAAGACATTATCTTTGTTATATATTTGATTCAAATATCATAACAATCAAGAATCAAGAGAGCTGACAGACAAAATAAATTAGATAATCAGGTGTTTTAATTGTTTTTTATGTTGGAATTGGTCGTTTGATCTGAAATTCAAAATTTGAAATAGTTTAAAATTTTGAATTTAAATATGGATGGTGGGAAAAGAATTTCTTTTAAAAATCGAATTTTAATTTTTAGATTGAATAATTAAATGACCGTTTGTGGTGGCAGATATAAAAGAATAATTAATTAATAAATATGATTTTGAAATTCAAAATTTTAATTGTATAATCAAGTGTTTTAATTGCTTTTTATGTTGGAATTGGTCGTCTGATCTGAAATTCAAAATTTGAAATGGTTTAAAATTTTGAATTTAAATATGGATGGCGGGAAAAGAAATTCTTTTAAAAATCGAATTTTAATCTTTAAATCGAATAATTAAATGACCATTTGTGGTGGCAGACAAGACATTGAATGTCCCTTAAAAAATAATATGATATAATTCCGGGTGAAGAAAGGACATTATTGAGTTCAGATAAGGTTTTGAAACAAGACGGTAATTCATCTCTCGAGAATGACAAAATCTCCCCTGATATCTTAAATACATTCTCATGTTCGGGGATTCCTGGACATAAATTAACTTTGAAGGTTAAAATACCGATGATGCTATTGAGAAATATTGATCAATCAAGAGGTTTATGCAACGGTACGAGATTACTTGTTACAAAGTTGGGGAATCATGTTGTCGAGACAATTGTTCTTACAGGAAACAATATAGGAGATACTGTCTTAATCCCTAGAATGACGATCAGCCCATCGGGTCATACATTTCCAGTAAACTTCCAAAGAAGACAATTCCCCTTGGTAGTTTCGTTTGCGATGACTATCAACAAAAGTCAAGGACAGTCTCTGTCTTATGTTGACATTTATCTTCCTAGGTCTGTCTTCACTCATGGGCAATTATATGTGGCACTATCTAGAGTAAAGAGCAGACATGGATTGAAGATGCTGATACTTGATGAAAATGGTTGCGTTACAAATACTACCTTTAACATCGTCTACAAGGAAGTATTTCAAAGATTAGTGTAGTATACTTGGTTATTTCTACAAAGAGATAACATTGTTGTTTGGTATCAGGTAAGATCCCAATTTTTTATCAGAAAATATTTTTTAATCTTCTTTGTTGATTTCCTTTAGTTGTTATGCCTATTTTTCTGCTAATTTTTTATTGTTATGCAGATTCAGTATTCGAGGCACAATCAGTATATTATTCCCTTGTCATTTTTCAGAGTCAAAGGTTTTTCATTGTAATTCTGAATTATTCATCTGCCTAAACTATATAATTCCCTTCAATGATTTTTTCTTTTCCAAATATTGTTTATGATTCATTTCGAACAGCAGCAAATACCAATAGTGCATGGCAGACGATATTTTACAACTGTTGTGAGTATCGATTGGGCATATTTCTTATTATATTGATGTCAACATGACATTTATATTTTTTTAATGGAGATTTTGTTGTCAACCATGGAATTTACTGTGTTTAAATTATTATATTCTTTTTTTTGTTCCTACCTTAAAAGTTACACGTTTATGTCATACGAACAAACCGATTTTCTTTTTAATTCGTTTACGGGACAAACAAACCGATTTTTTTTTCTCCGTGCATCGCACGGGTAATCAACTAGTTTATATATATATTAAGAGAAAAAAGTTGTTAGCAAGTTTGAGTGCTTGACAAATAAAAATAGATAGGATAATTAAATAGAAAACAAAGAATTTATTACATTAGAAATATAAAAATTATAATATTCTCTTAATAATTAAAAGTATTTATGAAAAAAATTAAATATTTTGTAAGGAGTATCTTTTTTATTTCCACGGATAAAAATCTTAACAAATTTACATCGATGAACAATTAATAATATCAACCATTAATTAATTATCAAAAACACAGAAGAGATTATATATATATATATATATATATATATATATATTAAGTAATTATTATACAATATTTAATTAGATATTTATTATTAAAAGTACAAAACAAAAAAAGTAAAAGATAAATACATTTTCCATATCATGAAAAAAGCAATTTAAAATTTAAGTAATATTTTTATTTTTTTTACTTTATTTACGCCATATAGGTATTTAATGCTTTATTGAATGTTTCCTAAAATATTGTTACAAATAAATAAAATAAAAATTTATTAACATGAGAATTAAATTTTAAAGGAAAAAATATTTGTCCTTTTAAAGAACATAACATCATGTCATTTTAAGTAAGAGAAAGATATAAACTAATTTTTATTTGAAATTTAAATTAATTTTTTTTCATTTTCTCCCCCATAATTTTCATTTCTTGTGTCTTTCTCTCATTTAAAATAACACAACTATATATATGCTTTAAAAAGACAAACATCAAACCCAATTTTAAAATATAAATATTTATACTGTATTTTATAAGTTTCTAATCATGTTTAAATTAATTTATTTGTAAATAAACAAATGTCAAATAAAAACCAATTTAAAATATTCTAAAATTAAGCAATTAACATTGAATATATAATCTAGATATCTAATGTTGTTTTTTTTGTTGTTGTCAAATTAGATATATAATTTAAGTATGTAGAACTTATTGTTTATAAAAAAAAAAAAAAAGTATGTAGAACTTATGGACGAAAGTTAACCACGAATTATTAACAAATAATAATATCTAAATAAATTACAGGAGGAAAAAAAACACAAATGTAGAGATCTGTATAAGCCAAAATGGATTGACTTAAACCTCTACTTACAGGATATCCAAAAAAATTAAAAATAAAAACCTCTACTTAACAGGTAGAGATAATTTGGTATTTCTAATATATTTTTAATATTTGAATAAGAAAGTATTAACAGTAAAATATTTTCAAATATGAAATACTATTATTTAAAAAGAATTCAACCATGTAATCATTAAAAGTGGACCTTTTTCGGTAATTATTATTATGACAAAACATTAAAAATCTTTGAATAAGATAACAACACATAATAAGATGGGGTTGAATTCATGTTGCAGATGTTATTAATATTAACTAAAGATAGAATAGTTTTACATTTTATTTCTTTTAATAATTTTTTAAATTTGAAAAAAATATTTAAAATAAATTTTTTAATTATTAAATAAGGAAAATAATAATAAATATATATATATATTAAATCATTTTCTTATTAAGTATTAAGAAAAGTATTACAAATATGTCTTAAGAAAAACAATTTTTGTTTTTAAAAAAAAAACTCCTAAAAATATTATCATGAAGAGAACGTTGACGACTTGACGTTTAGAATGGTGGCCCCCACGTAGTGTGTAAGGAGCACCGAATATCACATGAAACGGCAGCAGAAATAACGCTGTTTTGGCGGTAGGCCACGTCAATGTGCGTGCCAATCTTCTTTAAAAAGCGTTACTCTTCTCATTTCCCTCACTCACTCTAATTTCTTTCACTCGCTCTCTTCTTCTGCCTCAGTTCACAGTTCACTCCTCTCATCACCTTCACCGTTGATCAAAGTCTGTGCATCATGAACTCCAATTCCAAAACCACCGGCTCTTCCTCCTCCGACCTTCAAGTCTGTTTCTCTTTATTCTCTCACTTTTTTTCAATTCCTTTCTCGTTTTTTTTTTTTTTTTTTTTTTTTTTTTATCGTTGCGATATTTGGAAATTAAATTCCGATAATTATACATTGTGTTGTATCTAATTGGCTAGTTAAGCGCTTTAATTAAACTAGTCTCTGTTTCTCTATCTCTCTGTGTACACGAATAGCACAAACGACTATTGAGTTTGTGAGTAGGGCTCCCTGTTTGGTTTCCGATAATTCCTTTTGAAAATGACATGTAGTTTCTTTGCTTCATCGAATGAGAATTTAAATTCGCATTTGTTGCCAGCAACTTCTTTTGCTGTAATCAAACATGATATCACATAAGCAGTTGAATCATTTTATTTTTTATTTTTTAGATGTAATTGCATGGAGTTTTGTGTTTTGATTTGTGAAGCAATATCTGTAATGTTTATTGTTTGATATAATATTGACAGAGACAACACGGAGAGGCAGAAATAGACGCTGATGGAACTTTGTTATTGAAGTTGAACAAATTGCTCATGCAAATCCAGGGAAAGCGAATGAAATCAATCAGAGTGAGTTACCAATTGAATGGCTTGATGCTTGGAAAGGTTCCAGTTTTGCGTTCATGTGTATACTGGACAGTTAGTTTCTTTGTTCTCTCACTGTAAATGGGGGAAAATCACATTGATCTCCTATTTTATACTATGTGCAAAGTGAACTTGATTTTTGTGGAATTCTTGGTCTAGTTCTTCTTGCTTTTTCTGTGGAGAATTGGATAATGGTAAAATTGAAAACAAAGAATCCAAACTAGAGCATGCAAATTTGCTATTAGGGTACCGTAAGGGACTCATTTATTTCCTTGTGCTTTTAGAATGGGATGAATTTCTGATTTGTGTGGTTATATGGGTGAGCAACCTCGTATTTTCTTGCAGCTTTTTCTTTTATTTTATAGGCGTTTTGGTGGCACGGCTTTATTATTGATTATTTGATTTTGTTTTCCTCAATTGCAAAATGCAAGGTTTGACCAAGCTTCCGTACACCTTGCTGGTTAAGTTAATCTTAGTTATGATTCCACAGGAAAGAATTAAGAGTAACGGGAAGATTGTAAAACATCACGTTTCAATAGTCTTGTCAGCAATATCAAGAAAAGCCCCATTGCAGACAGAGGAAAATACCAATCAAATGCTTTCTTCAAGAATTGACCGTCCTCTATGTAAGTTCAGCGGTTTCTCTCAAGGTTCAGGAGACAAAGACCACGTTAACAGTCGGAACATATTATCTGAAACAAGTATCAAGATTCCATACATCGAAAGATTACCACCATATACATTTTGGATACATTTGGCCAGGTGCGTTTGAATTTCAAGTTTGAAAGTCTAACTGTCCAGATGTCCCTGATGTCCAACTTTGGCCAAAGTGAAAATACATGCTTCTTGAATTGTATTCCCTTTTTAAATAGAAACGTCAATATTAAATTTTATTGATCAATCCATATGCAGATTGTGATATGTATTTTTTTTTTTTAAAATAAAATAAAATAAAAATCTTTCACACAAATCAGAAATCAGAGAATGGCCGAAGATCAATCAGTTGTTGGAAGAAGACGTATATACTATGATCAACATGGAAGTGAAGCCCTGGTATGCAGTGACTCTGATGAAGAGTTATCAGTACCCAAGGAAGTTAAACACAACTTTTCTGAGGGTGAAGACCGACTTCTTTGGTGAGTTAAATTGGAAATGCTATACTAACTTGCATGTAGAAGTTCTATTTATTTGTGAAGAAAGATTAAATGACACAAGAGCTAGAGATCCTGATTGCAACATTTGTGTTTAGCAATATGAATCCTTAATTGACATATTCAATTGCTGAGTAAGATAGATGCTTTGCTGGAGCTCCAATGGTTTTCCTTGCTGTTGTTCAGGAATCATGACCACACAAGACAAGATGTTTAAACCTAATACCAAATTTAAACTCAATCGTGTATCATTTATCTGCTTTAATCCAATGTTTGAGGTTTCTCCTTTCTAAAACTACCATCTTGACTCTTGAATATTTTAGGATGGCATTTGAGGAACATGGGTTAACTGAGGAGGTATTGAATATTGTCAGACAGTTTGTTGGGGGTACTAGTTCAGAAATTCAGGTAATCTAGAATAATTTATTTTCATGACCATATGATTGATGGATGTTAATCCTAATCAATTATTGCAAAAATAAGTTGCGCCTTGGAAATGTATTTTTAGTAGCCATTTTTATGTCTGGGAGAAATATTTTTCATCTAAATATACAGGAGAGGTACAAAAATCTCAAGGAAAAGAATATGAGAAAGTGGGACCAGCATTCTGAAGATTCTGGACGATGTGATTCTCATATTGGCATATGTTTGGAGAAAAGCTTGAGTGCCACTTTAGACTCCTTTGATAACCTTTTCTGTCGCCGGTGCATTGTACATACTAAAACTAAAACATTATCCTCGTAACATTCTTGCCATCACTATCTTGTCTAATATGATACTGAATATCTTGTATGTCCATTCTTACGTAATTTCCTGCAGAAGATTTTTGACTGTCCTCTGCATGGCTGTTCTCAACCTTTAATATATCCTGTAAGGATCAGTTCTCTATGTTCTTTTCAACTTAATCTGTGGTTCCATTAATATGATAGTCTTATGGTTTATTTCACAGAGTGAAAAGCAGCTAGTTTGGTCTGAACCTGAAGATGACAGGAAACCATGCAGTGATCAGTGTTACCTGCAGGTATTATTCTTCTCCTTTGTCTAAGATTTCAAGTAATTTTATATTTTGATTCAGGGGCCAGGGAATAATATTTAACTTGTTTTCAGTTTCAAAATATACAAAAATGGTCGAGTGAAATTATTTTTTGCCCTGCTGATATTCTATTTGAAACATTTTCATTGTCTGGGGGATTGGTGTCCTAGAAAAATGATGGCATCTCTGTCATAAGTGATTGGTTGACTTGTGTTGGCAGTAATTCTGCAATAATACATGCTTTCTAATTCATTTGAGATGAATGATTCTGTCTATGTATATACTTACAAGAGCTACACCTCTATTCATGTGTATTCCATGTTTGATGGGGGAAATGTGCATGATTGATCTCCATTTCATTTTCGTGCAGTTAAAGGATGTCAATATTTTGTCTGAAGATTCAACTCTGGGGTCTTATCAGGATAACAAAATTAAAACAATGGAACAGGAAGCTGGGATATTGGCACCCTTCAGTTCAAAGGAGCCTGGTAATCAGAGTACCAAAGCTATCTTGCAGGAAGAAAGATGCAATTATGTGACAGCAACACCTTTTACTACAGAAGTTGGTTGTCGCGGAGATCTCAATTCAAATGTGCCTGTATCAGAAAGTATGGGGAAACGGAAGGTCACAAATCTGTCAGAGTCAGCACTCTGTGACTCAACACGGCCTCCTGATGATTCTCAGGGTTCTTGTAAAAAGCTGAAAAGAATCTCCGATGATATTGTCAGGGACCTTAATTTGGATGCTTTGGGTGAAGAAAAACACCCAAGTACTTGTGCATCTTTGAAAAGTTTTGTTGAACATACTTCAAATAAATTAATAGTTTCTAGTAACACTTGCCATGGTGAGCATGACAAGGGTGTTGAGGATGGACAAAAGGATGTCACAAATGAGAGAGAATTTAAGCAGTTGTCCGATTCAATTGAAGGACAAGTTGATGAGATGGCATGTCTCTCAGAGTGGAAACCTCTGGAGAAAGATTTATATTCGAAGGGGGTAGAAATGTTTGGGAGAAACAGGTATGGAGCTTTTTGCGCTTTTTTACCTCACTTAAAAACACCTGGACCATGTTAGGTGCTTAGGTTGTTACTACGTTTCTTTTAAAAAATTACTACTGTGATGAAAAATGCTAGGATGGCATCAAATTTAGTTTGTAGTGTGTGTGAAGGTGATAACTGGAGTTTAATCCATTGTTGCAGTAATAGAGCAACTTTAAAATGCATGGATTTGAAATATCTGTGTATGTCCGTAAGTAAATAAAACTAAAGCAGAGTAAATTCTCTAGCCACGAATATCATTCTTTTGATTTTAGGGATTAATATTTCTCGTGTTGTAGGAGATAAATTATCTCTTACACACACATAAAAATGTGTGGGACCCATGGGTCATGTGAAAAGTAGAGAGAGAAAAAGAAAATGTAGGCTCCACATACTTTTATGTGTATGTAAAAGATAAAATTATCTCCTACAATATGAGAAAACACTAATCCCTTGATTTTATGTAGTAGGACCAATTTTTAAGTTTGTGCTCATGTGCAACTCATGCTCTGCAGTTGCCTTATAGCCCGGAACTTACTTTTTGGCTTGAAGACTTGCATGCAAGTAGCTAACTACATGTATGCTGGTGGAGTGTCAATGCGCTGCAGATCCTTACCAAGTTCAATCATGGACAAAAATGGAAAAATTCATGCAGAGTTCACAGTGAGACCAGCAGTCATTTCTCTATCTTCTTTATGTCTTCTTCTTATTTTTTTTTTGGAGAAAAGGGGGGGGGGGGGGGGGGGGGGTTGATTAAGATGAAAAATTAATTTTTCCGTACAATAGGAATTTATGATTGAAGAAACAAATATAAACAGGGAACAGTAATATATTCTGTCTTGCCACGTAGAAGAATTAATATCAGCATTACGAGTTGATCAAATTTGAATTCTTATTATCATTGATTGTAGGGGCTTTCTAGATTTTATATTCTGTCTTGCCTGATAGGAAGGGTGTTTTCAGGTCAGACATGCAAAACTGCAAAAGGGAATGGGTTGCACTTTTGAGCTGATGTGTGTGTGTATAACCTATGCACCCTTGGTTATTTTGGGACGTAGGAGTCCTAACTCCTGTACTGTAGTTATCTTGATGAACTTTTTTGTCAATTAAAGGAAAAATATAATTCTGAACGTTCAGCTTTTGGATTTGAATATAATTCTGCAAACTTTTGTTCTAATAATTTCTACCAACCTTTATGTAATGCTCTGCTTTTTGGATACCATCAAATTACTTTTGAACCAGGGTTATTCTGCTAGGAGCAAGGGATGCCATCAATTAAAGGAAAAATATAATTCTGAACGTTCAGCTTTTGGCATTTGAATATAATTTTGCAAATTATTGTTTAAACAACTTCTACCTACCTTTATGTAATGCTCTTCTATTTCGATATCATCAAATTACTTTTGAACCTGGGTTATTCTGCCAGGACCAAGGGATGCCATCAAGGTCACGGTTTCTGCGGAAAAGGAGCAAAACTAGGAAATTCAAATATTCTCGGAAGTCTGCTGGCCTCCCATCTATGTGGAGAAGAATTGCTCATGGGAAAAACCAATTTTACAAGCAGTATACACCTTGTGGATGTCAGGGAATGTGTGGAAAGCAATGTCCTTGTGTTCATAATGAAACTTGCTGTGAAAAATATTGTGGGTATGTTAATCTTCATTTAATAATGTTGCTTTTCTGCTAAGGAAATAGACGAAATAGTTGCAGGATATTTCTTAATTGTCATGGCCATGTGTTGGTCCATTTAAATTATTTTGTTGACAATCTTTGTGGGGTATCTAGCCTGAAGATTCAAGTCTAACGACGTTGATCTGGATAGATTGTCAAATATGGTCTCCTAAGCCTTTGTAGTCAAAAAACGAAAGAAACAATGATTTATCTTGTAGTTCTACAAGAGATATACAACTATCCACAAAATTCTATTTCTTCAAAAAAATTAAAAAGACTTTATGCTTGGCAATGCTCTCAAAATGCATTTTCAACCTAAAATTGGGATCTGTTTTAGAGATGTTAACTAATTATGTTAACGTGATGAATTAACTTTTCTACCTTCACAGGTGTTCAAAGTCCTGCAAAAACCGGTTCAGAGGATGTCATTGTGCTAAGAGTCAATGCAGGAGTCGACAATGTCCATGCTTTGCAGCTGGACGTGAATGTGATCCGGATGTCTGTCGAAATTGTTGGGTTAGGTAATGTCATTTTTATTTTTTGATTTTACATGTCTCAGACTATATCCTTCTCCCGATTGAGAAAGTCGTAAGTAATTTTTGGCTCTGATAATTCAATAGCATATACTATTTTTACTTTTTTTTACATAATGGCAAACCTTTTTTGATTTTTTCTTGTTCCCCATGATCTCGCATCTCTATATCTTGCCTGATTTGAGACACCAAAAATACAATTCTAGTAATTTTGTCTATTGCTGGTTTAGATCAATATCTTTGCCACAGAAAATATGCATTTGTTTCTGATAGTCAGCTAAAAGAATTATAAATTTCAGCATTGGTGGTGTTTTCTAATTACTATTTAGTATTAGTATCTATGTGTTAGGAACTGGTTTTTAGATCTGAATAATAAAAGGATTTAACACACTATTTGGCCCAGTAAACTGGATTTTCTGTATTAATGACAAGAACAATACGTAACTATGATATTAGCTATTACAGAGGGAAAGGTACCAGAACGTAAATGGCTATTTCTAGAACAGAATAAAAGAAATATCCTGCACCCCAATGATATAGGTTCAGTACAATTGAAGAGGTAATGATTCTCTCCCAATCTGGTTTCCCAGCCCAAGTCCCAATTTTCCAGCTTCCTTCTCCTTCTTTTCCTTCATCTATTTATACCAAGCATTCTTATACTTCACGTGTGACTCACCTCATTGCCTCTTAACAAAATTTCCCTTCTAGAATATTCCCCCTCTAACTGCCTTGGTGACTAAGCATAAGTGCCTTGAGTGACTGATTCTCTACATTTCTTTCTAGAATGTTCCTTAAGAGATGGTATCCTAACAATACTCCCCCCCCCCCCCCCCCCCTAAATACTCACCTTGTCCTCAAGTTATGTGTAATGCATGATAATTTTCTACCGGGATCTCATTGCTTGAATTGCAAGAGCCAACTTATGTGTAATGCATGATAATTTTCACCTGGGTTCCATTTCCATCTGCCCTGAACTCTATTATCACTCTCCACCAGCATACAAAAAACATGTAACACATTGATAACATTGCTCTTTGAACCAAATTGGGGCCGTAGAAGAAGATTGAGCAAAATGGGCGCAACTACAATACCCCGTGAAGACGCATCCATCATTAGTAAATAAGATAATGCCCTTAATAGACCTAAGTCCATAGACCTCAGTGATAGTTGGTTGACCTCAGGGATCAACATAGCAAATAGATGCTTGGATGTATATTCCTTAGCAGCAATATTTGTAGGCAAATCAAATTGATATTAGAAAATTATGAAGAAACCTTACAGCCTGTTCCAAATAGAACTCATACATGCTGCAACTTTTGTTCGTTTCAGCCTCCGCGATCAGATTTATGCATCGGTAGGTTGTCAAAAGCAAACCAAGCACACTAGCATTTGGATGGTGGGAAATATCGCTTACTGCTACATCCTTCGCTGCAAGATCAATTAGCGCGTGAAGGACGCATTCTGTCTAACTTGCTGCGTTCACACTTTTTTGAGGCAATTTATCAAACACCTTCTGAGCTATAACTATTTCCTTGGATGAAAATTGCATCATTAAAGCCCCCAAAACAGAACAAGATGCATCATCTTTAATACAACCAACCCAAACCCTAAGATGAGCACAATCAACAAAAGCAAATTCATACACTACCGACCTGTTACCAAAACCGTTGCTTTTTATGACAGAATCATCAATCTCCAAAATTACGAGAGATGTTGTTGTTTCAAGTTTGACCAGCTTGCAACATTTAAACTCAAAATTAACCAACCTTGAACGCTTTCTACCGATCTCAATCGACACCTCACTTTTTTGGTCTGCCCATAATGACGCATCAGCCAGATGAAGGAGCGAAAGCTTGGGGTAATCAAAAAAGATAACCAATCCTGTCTCATTTGCATCATGTTCGAGGTATCTGGAATCGAAAGGGCAAGTGACGATTAGTTGCACTAGATTAGGGCACAATGAGATGTTGGGTTTTCAGTGGAAACTCTCCATGACCGACGTTGTTAAGCAGGCAATTTTACTAAGTTTTGTTGGGCAATCATATTGAGAAATGGGTCTCATTAAGTCAGTCAGCACCCTGGACCTATAGGCCCATTCCTCCAGTAAAACCCAAACAGAAACATGACTGGCCAGTTTGGTAACAATTCGGGCCAGGCCCCTTGCTCAGTAACATGGCTCAATTGGTGTGATTCATTCCCTAACCAAGATGGTTGCTTCTGCCGTTTAGGAAACCACCATCGCTGCTGAATCGCCATGACCCATTCTCGCCTCTTTTTCCTATGCTTATTGCTACGCAACTTCGTCTTCCCCTTAATGGCGTCACTATTACGCACATCATCACAGGGTGCCGTTGGGTCTAAAATTTTTCCCAGCTCCATCATTGACATAATTTTTGTCTCTGTCTTTATCTCATTCCCTATTGCAAGACATTCTTGCGGCTGCTTCTTTACATAGTCGCAACTTAACTCCTTGCCATGAAAGATCACATCTGGCGGATCCGATGGTGGTGGTGGGTTGGCCACCACAGTCAGCGGTTGTGGCAACAACAGTTCTCTCCTCAGGTTCCCTTCTTTGATGCTACCCGCTACTTCCATTACACCTATTTCCGATTTCTCAACTTTGACGTTTTCATTTTCTTCAACCACCATGATATTAGCCTCTTCATTTATTTTATCATTATCAGATTTCGTAGCATCTTTCTCATCCTCATCTACCTTGTTTATGCCATCAGCCTTATTCTGTTCTATGCTCGTTTCTTTGGGCATGCTCTCCGTCTCTTCCCACAAAGATTCTTGCTTCAATTTAGATTCTAATTTTTGACATTATGAATCTGCATCATCTACCAAAATAATTTCTGGTAGATATTTCTCTATTAATGCCTTCTCAAAATCCCTCCAGCTTGCATTAGGATTGAACCATTTCCAACCTTGATACCGCTGAAGGCACTCCCTCTGAGCCCTCTTACAGCTTCTTTCAACTTGTCATCTTCATTGATTTTTATCTGGAAAAATTGTTACAAATAGATCAGCCATCCCTAAGCTTCATCATCTTCTCTGTCTCCATAGAACTTGGGAACTTTGCTTATTTGTGATTTTCTTCCAAGCGTGGCCATGGTTCACAGAGCTCCCGGATCGGAAGCTCTGATACCAATTGTTAGGAACTGGTTTTAGATCTGAATAATAAAAGGATTTAACACACTATTTGGCCCAGTAAACTGGATTTTCTATATTAATGACAAGAACAGTACGTAACTATGATATTAGCTATTACAGAGGGAAAGGTACCAGAACGTAAATGGCTATTTCTAGAACAGAATAAAAGAAATATCCTGCACCCCAATGATATAGGTTCAGTACAATTGAAGAGGTAATGATTCTCTCCCAATCTGGTTTCCCAGCCCAAGTCCCAATTTTCCAGCTTCCTTCTCCTTCTTTTCCTTCATCTATTTATACCAAGCATTCTTATACTTCACGTGTGACTCACCTCATTGCCTCTTAACAAAATTTTCCTTCTAGAATATTCCCCCTCTAACTGCCTTGGTGACTCAGCATGAGTGCCTTGAGTGACTGATTTTCTACATTTCTTTCTAGAATGTTCCTTGAGAGATGGTATCCTAACACTATGCTTCAATAAAACTTACTTTATAAATTAAAAAAAATGTCCAACGTTAGATGATTGAAGATGGCCATAGGATATCTCTATGTTGTACCACATTGAAAACAAAAGAACAAAGGGTTCAAACATGTAGGGTGCAAGTAGCTGTGATTCATGATTCATCGTGAAGAAATGTATTAAATGTGACCTACCATCACTTCCGTCATATCTGACGTGGGGATCTGGACTGTTTGGGAAATTGCCTTGTATCTTTTGTTGCTACAAGTGAATGTAGTTGAGCTGGCTGTATTCTCCATTTTCTGTTATAACCATTTCAGCTATAAGTGAAAGGAACAGAGCTGTATCTTTTACAATGACTTTAAATATGACATTGTTTATACAGTTGCGGCGATGGTTCATTAGGGGAGCCACCTCGACGTGGAGATGGTCAATGTGGAAATATGAGGCTTCTTTTAAGGCAACAACAGAGGGTTAGTAATTCTTTTGCTCTTTAAAATATCTGTATCATAATCATGAATAAAATCATGAATACGAGTGGTCTTACATTGTTTTCCGTATTTTTAAATCTGTCAGATTCTTTTGGCGAAGTCTGATGTTGCAGGATGGGGTGCCTTCTTAAAGGTTTCGATGCCTGTACTTGTTTGTTTTCAAATAATGTGAGAGCGCATGTTCTCCTCACTAATTGATGATGATGCATTTCAGAATCCAGTTAACAAAAATGATTACCTAGGAGAGTACACGGGTGAAATGATATCTCACAGAGAAGCAGAAAAGCGTGGGAAAATATATGATCGCGCCAACTTTTCTTTCCTTTTTGACTTGAATGATCAGGCAAGTCTCTCGTATCAATTACATGTTCTCTTTAACTTTCTTTTCTAGCTCTTCTCCATGGACTTGAGCTTTCTTGTTATTTATAGGAGGGCTATAGGATTATGTAAAAGATCTTAAACCTGCTGCTACCTGTTAGCTGTCATTGTGCTAGTTGTTTTATTATGTTTCTGTTAGCTTTCATCAATCTACCTTTTTTCCCCCACATTTTTTTTTATATAGTAAGATATAATATATTGGGATTTCCAATTGATGATGTAAGGTCTTGAACCTACTATGTTTTGTTACAGTACGTTCTTGATGCGTATCGCAAAGGAGACAAATTGAAATTTGCGAACCATTCATCAAAACCCAACTGCTACGCAAAGGTCAGTCCACAGAAGTTTTGGGATGATATGAAACGTACCCTTTGATCTTAGCAGATTGAACTTGATTATGGAATTGTCATAATGATTGGCCTATTGTATTGGTTGCATAGGTCTTGTTGGTAGCTGGGGATCATCGAGTAGGCATATTTGCCAATGAGCACATTGAAGCAGGTGAGGAGCTTTTCTATGACTATCGCTATGGTCCAAATCATACACCACCATGGGTTCTTAAACTCAAGTCTGAGGGTCCCAAGAGAGACGAGTCAGCAGTTTCTCAGGGCAGAGCGAAGAAGCACCAGTCTCATTGATGAGCCACAGCAAAGAAGGTTCAGGATGCTAATTTCTATTTACTTCCCGCATCATTGAATTCCTTAATCTGTTGCCTATTTATTGTTTGACTGCATCTACCATAATTTTATGCATAATAGTATCTGTTATTATTATCCTCACGACAATTGCTCTTTGGGTGTTTCTCATAGGATGTCGGAAATTTTTCTCTGGATAGAAGATACTCAACATCTGGACCTTGGTCCTTGGCTGTGATTCCCAAAGTCCAGGATGTAAAGTATGTTCTATCCAAATCATACTCCACCATGGGTTCTTAAAATCAAATCTGAGGGTTCCAATTCCAAGAGAGACGAGTCAGCAGTTTCTCAGGGCAGAGCGAAGAAACACCAGTCTCATTGATGGAGCCACAGCAAAGAAGGTTCAGGATGCTAATTTCTATTTACTATTGAATTGTTTAATCTCTTGCCTATTTATTGTTTGACTGCATTTACCATAATTTTATGCATATTAGCATCTGTTATTAGTATCCTCATGACAGTTGCTCTTTGGATGTTTCTCATAGGATGTCAGAAATTTGTCTCTGGATAGAAGATACTAAACATCCTTGGACCTTGGTCCCCTTGGCTGTGATACCCAGGATGGACAGGATGTTCTATCCAGGGACAAATTTCTGGCATCCCATAGGACATACCCAAGAGCAACTGTTATGAGGATACTAATAACAAATACTAATATGGATAGATTATGGGAAGATTCAGTCAAACAATAAATAGACAAGAGATTAAGTAGTTCAATGTTGAGGGCAATCAATAGAAATTAGCCTGTCGTTGTTTGAGGCATATACATTTTTCTGTGTGCTTGATGATAATTTTGGCAATTTTCCTGAATGCCATAAATCTTACCGTTAGTAATGCTTAGAATGCCTACATAGTTTCAGCTGCCTTATGTAAATCACGTTTGAAAGCAATTCTTTCTTTCGGGTAAAAAGGAAATTATACTTACCACCTCTAACTATTTATTTCTCGTATAACTGTATATAGTAGTCAATAGAGCATCATGGAAAGAGGAAGGTGATGGAAAGAGAAAGGTGAGAAAGGGAGTGGAGGAAGTGATTGAAGAGAGAAAAATGAAATTTGTATCAAGTCATAACCGTTTGTTTAATTTTATCCTAGTGTTATAAAAAAAATATTAAGAGGGGGTAAATTTGGTAGTAAGTATAATCTCTCCGGATCTCATCGTATACAGTTGAGTTGTTATGCAGTTGAAGAGCTTCAGCAGCTGTAACTGATTTCAGTTCCACGTGTTGTTATAATATAGCCATAGTAGATATCCTTGTGTACAATATATATACGGTGAGATTGTAACTTCTTGTATCAGATTCAATTCATTCAATACTGAGATCAGATTCCCACTCCCTGTTTTCTTCCCCCCCACCCCCCCTTTGTTTTTGGTACATTTTTTCTTTCCCCTTTACTCGTTATGGTTTTGATACCTTTCAGCAGCTAGAAAAAAATGTTGACGGCCAATATCATTTATTCATAGGATTAATATAAATTTCATCTTTAACATACACAGTATGGGACCCATGTGAGAAAAAGACAAAAAAAGAGAGAGAAGACACATGGTTTTCACAGAAAAATATTTTTTAAGTTACTATATTCAGTGAACTCAAAACGATGTTATTTTGGGTTATAAGATTAAAAAATCATAATGATAAAGACTAATAATATCCTGTAATATATTAAAATTACAAAAATATTTTGATTTTTACCCTTAAATAACATTGTTTTGGGTTAACTGGAGATAATTTATATTCATTGATCCAAGAAATTCTTTACCCTACTTCTATATCTATGTAAGAAATAAATAATAAACCCGTTATTCATAACTTTAATCAGTTAGGCTTGTAAAAGACGAAACTGGTTTGACTAAAATAAACGGATCCGGATCCTCTGATGTGAAAGATCACATGACATGGTAAAGTAAAAAATCATAACCATACAAAGGTGGATCAATGGTAATAAGATAGGAGAGAAAAAAAATAATAAAATAGGTAGTTATAAAATTATAACCATTGATTTAACTTTGTATGATTGTGATCTTCTCACACGATCGTGTCATGTTTTTTCTCACATTGAAAGGATCCATTTCCAAAATAAACGGACCTTTCAAATCGGAACTGGCTAGGGTTTCTTATATTGAAAACCTAGGTCGCATTTGTTGAGCTAGCCTAAATTATTGGGCCGAATGGATCAGCCCGGGGTCATGAAACGGTTCTATTAAATATTAATTAACCTTGTACCAAAAAAAAAATGTATTAATTAACCATCTTTTTATGATTCTGTTATATAAAAGAAGGGGAAAATGTATGTCATTTAAAATGATGGTCCTTTTAAGAGAAAGATAAATCATGAGAAAGAGAGAAAAAAAAATCATTATCTCCCATAATTTATCTCTATCTTTTTCTTAAAAAGACTTAATTTTGTATCCTTTAAAATGATACATATTTTTTTCAATAAAACATACAGTACTTAAGTGAAGTTAATGTAAATGAACAGTACCCAACTCTACAAATAATTTCATTTAATGCAAATGAATAAATAAGTTTTGTTATTTGAATGATAAGTTAATTATTTTTATCTGTTAAATTTAAAATTAATTTAAATATTTATTGTATTATTAAATAGGATATAATTATAAAATTTGACACATCTCAATTCACTTTAAACGAAGAATTTCGAAGTTATAACAATTGAAAAATTTAAAAAGAAAATTTTAATAATTTGTTTGTAAGAGATGTATATGTATTTATTACAATCTCAGTCATTGAACTTTTAATCTACAAGTCTATAACTCTATATTTCATCCTCTAAAAAGAACTACTCACTTTAAAAAAAACCAAATTCATATTTGTTTACTTAATAAAATTTTAATTGGAAATTTAACTTATATTAATCAGATACACAATATTAACTATAACTGAAATCTTAACATTTTATTTTATTCTGTGCATAACTCGGGTTCAGCAATTTCGGTTCATTGACCGTGAAAATGAATACATACCATCTTGGATCTTAGCTACAATTTAACCCATTTTATGGTACTTCAAAATTGGAAGTTTCTCTTCGTTAACCTTAATAATAAGGTGAACTGTAAACCGAAAATGCTAAAAAGAACATGCAATACGTTTTGGGGTGGAGGAGGGGGAAGAATATTTCACAAGCTATATACAGAAAAATGAAGAGCATACTAGTTTGAACTGGTCACCCTCATCTACTTTGTAAATGAAAATATAACAGTTCATTCCATGTATCTGGAACCCCTGGAAGACACCAATGGCTGCAATCTTGAAAGCTAGAGGATTGTGTTTTTCTTCCATAAATCGATGGGTGACCATCTATCCTATATTCTGACAAACTAGTTATATTCAACAATGTCACTGGAGTTTTCATCTGCTTTATAATCTCCTCTATGATTATATTCTTCTCGGGATAAATGGTACCTAAGGTTTCATTCAGAGGATTAGTGGCTTCCTTACAATGTCCTCCCGAATTCCAATTACCTCCCCTGTTGCAGAGGATCAAATTCACTAATAAGCCATTTTGGATTTCGGAAACTACAAAAAGTCAAAAACAATTAATTGCAGGGTGGATATCAGAAGCAAACCTGAAATGAGATGGTGCTGAACTTCGAAAGAAAACTTGGGCTTTTCTGGGATTCATGTGTTTGTCCACCCATGAAGCCCAAGTCATTAAAGCTTTCCTCAAAGCTGTAGAAACATTTAGCCGCGGATGAACTAGACTTCCTTCTTGGTAGTAATAAATCCTGTTATACATACGATCACAGGTTTGTTAAAAATAGTACTAACAGAAAAATTGGAAATATGTGATAAAATGATGGGTTTTGTAAATGTCATGTAACAGGAAAATTGGTACATCATTTACAGAGACATGTTTTTGTAGGGTCCACCAAATATTAGAAAAAAAAAATGAAGAAAAAAGCTAGCACTGAGAACGAACTGAGAGCAGGAGGAAACAAAAATTGTCTGTAACATGACATTTGCTTTTCCCTAAAATGATTTGGTAATGAAGCTATGATTGCTCATTTTTCAAAACTAATTCCAATTTTTGCTGCTTAGATGTTCCCAATATATAGAACGCCAACATTCTCTCTCTCTTTTTTCTTCCTTTTTTGGTAGATACCAACTGGTGTCTGAAGTCTAAATGGACCCGACTAATCGGGTTTTGGATTTGTGCCTCTCCACCATCTACAGGAATTGCGATTCTTAGGTTTCAAATCCTAGTCCCTTTGGGCAGATCAAATCTTGGGGTCTAGCGGGGTCGTTATTCTTTGTTAGCAAGACATTTTAGGCTCTATAAAGCTCAAGCCATTATATTTCAGCAATAGGAATCATATATTTTCTTTAACATAATCACACACACTGAAATGCCCTGCTTTTGAGATGAAATGAAAGTATAAAATGCTACTAATATTGAAGTGGATGCACACATCAGCAAAGGTTTCAAGCCTTAACAACTCAAAAACATAAAGAGAAGTGCTAACCCAGCTTTTGTTTTGTAATGTGACCACCAATGTGCAGTGTTGAAAACCAAAATATCAGCTCCTCTCCATCTTGATGAACTGCGATCAATGGCATCAATTCGCAAGGTTGGTCTTCGTTTCTGCCCTATTCTTGCCTTGGTTTCATGAACTAAGAAATGACTGACATAGTATTCAACAGTACATTGGTAATCCTACGAGGTTGAAAGTGCAAATAAGTAATACTCCAGAACCATCCATATTACAAAAACGAAGTAAGGTTCAGTAGAATTACCAGAAACCTGAAACTATAATTTCCCTTCTCTTTGGTAATTTTCCTTCCATGGGTCTCATACACTCTCTTTGGATCTCTAATAGCACCCAATAACATGCACAGCATTGATTCCCATTGGTTCCTATTAATCGAATCACCCACAAAAACTAGTCTTTTCCCTCTTATCAACTCCAGCATTTTTGTTGCATTGAACCTTTGCCAAAAAACACAGTACCAAAAAAACAAAAAATCAATTTCCTTTTGTTCCTAAATATTGCCTCAGTAGAAAAATGAAGTATAATTCCTAAATACTTGCAAGATGAAGGGAAAAAAAAAAAGTTCCAAAAGATTGAATTTGACAGTGTACTTACCTTGGAAGGTCACAGTATTTGGGCTGCCATCTCCACTTAGAGTATTTTCTATCCAATCTTCCATTTCCCTCACAATTAAAACCTTCATCAATGAAAGGACATGAATCTTTAGCGTAAAGAGGATAGTTTTCATCAAAAACCCAATACCCTTTTGTTAAATCACACCCTTTTACTGTCTTGTTCTCAATCTTGCTCAAAACCGGAACTTGAGTAGTTTTCCCAACTAAATCAGCTACTAGAACCTTCTTCTGTTCGTTGCTGAATCTCCTTCGAGGTGAAGTTCCATTATCTTGCATTGCCATGAAATTAACAGTTGAAGCATCAGCATGATGTCTTACATCTTCAGATTTGGACCCGAGAAAGGTATTCTTGGTCCTAAAAAACCGATTATCGATCGAAGTTGGAATTTTGACACCACTTACAGTGAAGTTTTTGGTAAAGCTAGTCAAGGACTGAACAGTTAAAGACCGAGGACCCACATTGACGCTATCACCGACAGAAGAAGAAGAAGAATATGATGATGATGATGATGATGATGATGTGTTGAAGTGAAGACGAATCTGCTGGTGAACTGAAGGTGTGGACTTGAGGAGCCAGATGGTGAAGGTAGAAAGGAAGAAGATTGAAGAAAAGATTGTGAATGAAAAGACCAAAAGCCTCGTGGGTTTGAAGGAGAAACTTCTCTGCCTCTCCATTGACGAAAATTTTGCATCCAATCCAAACAAAGTCAAATGTAGCAGTTACCAGATTCTGTAGTGTTATCATATGGGTCATGCACGATTTGATAATGTAACTTGCAAGATAACAATTAATTAATATATCCCAATATTAGATAAAGGAGCTAATGAAAAAAACCAATGTGAGATCCAGATTAATTATCATGTTTTTTTATGATCAAACTTCAAAGGAAACTTTCCAAATTCATCTCTCTAATAAATGAATTAGATTTTATCGTCATATTTAAAGAAACTTTCTTTGTAGGGTGCTATGATGTTATCTAATATGATTAGTGTCTGGGTGTGTTTCCAGATTGATGTATACCAATCTCAAGTATAATTTGTTTAAATACAGGGTTTTATTAACGTTATGTAACATAATTTAAGTATTATGTTATATGATAAACATAAAACTCTTAAATATATATTTTATGAACTTTTACTATAATACATGTTATGTTTAAAAAAATTGTTACAAATAATTTGTGAAAATAAATTTTATTCTTCAGTAAATTTTCAGACATGAAATATTTAAAAAAAATTCTGACTCCATATAAAAGTAAGAATTGCTCGTCTATCAAAAAAATAAAGAGAGTATTTTTTGAGTCCTTAACAAAAAAGAAATTCATTTTAATTTTTTAAGAAAAAAAGTCGATGCAGTTTTTTGAAATTGTAGTTTCTCACAAATTCAAAGAAAATATATATTAATCTTTCAAAAAAGACTAATATAAATATTTTAAAATAAATTCCATATTTTTTCTTGAAGAACAAAAATATTTACTCAAAATAAAAACTACTTATGTGATGTAAACTAGACTGTCTGTGGCTTTATGCAATCATACTTGTGCATAATTAAATATAACCCACACCCTACCTTTTTTAAATTATTATTATTTTTGTACATTTCTTTAAATTATTTTAAGATGAGAATAAAGCGTCAGCGATGAACCTCTTTACAGGTCACGACCCACGAGATTCAGTGGTCTCAAATTAATTAATTTTCTATGTTTTGGACTTTATTTTCTTATTCCTTCAATTTTAGTATTTAATCACAATGTACAGCTGTTGTCCCCTTTGCTTACATTGCAAGGTCATCTAAGTTTTCCGAAGGAATTTTACGTCCCCTGCACACAAAAATGCCAGATATTTTGTCAAAAATGTAAATTCATGTTGTCAGCTATTCAATGTACTTTCTTTTATCATTTTTATTATGTCATTTTAATTTTATTTCTTAATGTATTCTTCAGCCGATAATAAAAAATTAATCATTTTGAGGTGAAAAATCACATTAAATGAATAAATATCTCAATTAAAACATGTTAATTGTCGACTTAGATCATCAAATAAGATGTGTAGGTTATGGCTAATAAAACTAAAATTAAAAAAAAAAAAAATCTAACTTAATTCTACCCGATTTTATCTCACCTAAAGTTGATCCACAATTAGCCGATTTAACTTAAAAATTTAAAAATATCACAATAAATCATTATATTTATTAAGTTTTATTTTTATAAATTTCTACAAATATTATTTTAAAATAAATTAAAATTTATTTACTTTAAATAATAATTAATTTTGAATTTTTCATTTCAAATTAATTTCATTTTCAAAAAAATAAATTAAATAAATTATTTAAAATTAATACTTTTAGATCTAATTGTATAAAAGGGTAAAATAAAAATGCAACCCTCATCTTACACAAATTCATGTAGAACAACCTTGTAAGTTGTAACCTTATTCTCATTATCCCTTTAGTAATAAGCACAACATTTGGGCCACATTTTAAGCCCAAATGCATATGAATTGGGCTGAGTGGGCCCAGTGGAATTGCCACGACGTTACTCCAAAAGTGCAAATACCCTCCCTTTCCCATCACCATCAAGGCGTCGACGAATTCGTGAGGAAGAGATCCTAAGCCTCTGGTGAGTCCTCTCATTTCACTATAATATGAGATCTTCGATTCTTGTTGTAGTTGTATATTTTTCGATCTAATTATTAACGGGGACTAGTTTTTTTCTTCACCGATGGGATTCTTCATTCTCATTCTGTTGATTTCTTTTGATTTACTACAGATTTTTGGGAAATTATTGGTTAATTGGAAGCCAGATTAAAATTTTATGTTCCTTTTCCTTTTCATTGGATGCAAATGAATCAATTAGGGTGAAACAGAAGTCATAAAATAAAAGTGGAATTTTTTTCTTTCTTTCTATGAAGTCTTAAACTTGATTTTTTTAGAAAGTTTTGCAACCAAAAGAAACTTTACTTTAACCACATTTGTTCGTATGAACAAGTGGATCAAGGATAAAGCTTGCTTTTGATGATGCATAACTGTAAATTCCATTTGATTGCTTAGTTTCAACGACAATTGCTTGGACACAGGGCTCGTTCCGATGCCCGATGGTGTGTTTGCTTTGAATACAATTGTCAGCTTGTATGATTTATCCCCACTTTTTTACTTCCCCAGTTTGACTGTTGTTTGTTTTTGATTAATGGCTTCAATCTGAGTGAATTCCTTTGGTGAGATTTATAGTATGTACTTTGTTTGGAAGTTCGTAAGGAAAGGGAAAAGGATGAGAAGATAAGGGCAGAGGAAGGTTACTACTAGGTATTTATAAGTAATTTGTTTGGATAGGTTAATAAAATTTTAATTACCCCACGGATGTTTGAGGGTAATGAAGGGAAATTTTATAGTTATTTCTAGAATAGGATTGTCTTTACAAATTTTTTATTGGGGAGGGATATTGTGACAACCAAGTTGTGTTACTACAAGTGACTAGCAATCAATTTTATCCGTTAGATCGATTATATAGATCCAACGGTTATATTTATTTTCATCTTTGTATGGTCATGATTTCTCAAATTTAATATTTTATATTTATTTTCACCTTTGTATGGTTATGATTTTCCATATTTAATGCTTTCACTTTAAATATGGGGAATCATGACCATACAAAGATGGAAATAAATATAACCGTTGGATCAACATAATCGATCTAACGGTGAGATTGATTGGTAGTCACTTGGTAGTAACACAACTTGGTTGTCACAATATCCTTCCCCTTTTTTATTTATAAATTTTTACAAATTACACTCTATAACAGAGAGAACACAAACACTTAAGCGTGTACTTCTCGAGTGTAATTTGTAAATAAAAAGTTTATAAATATAATCTACATCTTCTTTCTATGGAGTAATTTTTTTGTCGACTCCACCACTCCACCCCCAAAATATATATATCAGAAAATGTTGTCTGCATCTGTGGCAGATTTTTTTTTTTTTTTTGTATGTCACGGAGAGAAAAAAAAGGAGAGAGAGAACATGATTACTAATGAACTCTACCCTTTTTTCTCTCCTTGGCAAATAAAAAATTTCTCGCATGGATGTAGAAAACATTTCCCATAATAACTTCATAAACAGCCTAACAATAATTGGAGAGTCTTTTCTTCTTCTTTCCCTTCCCTTCCCTTCCCTTCCCTTGAATCCAAATGTACCGTCAAATAGATTGTTAGAATTGTTCTGCCTTTTGAAGTTTGAACTAATAACTATATCCCAGTTTTATATTTAAATATTTACAAAGCCATTGTTTTGTAACTTGTAGAATTGACAAGCTTAAAGACAGGAAAGCAAATGGCTGGTCCTAGGATTGCTCATGCTACTTTGAAAGGACCAAGCGTTGTGAAGGAGTTATGTATTGGAATAGTACTCGGTTTAGCTGCTGGCAGTGTCTGGAAGATGCATCAATGGAATGAACAGAAAAAAGTCAGAGCCTTTTATAATTTACTGGAAAAAGATGAAATTAGTGTTATCGCGTATGAAGAGTAAAAACGGTCTTGCTCTCCATTTTTAGTCATTTTTTTCCCTCTGTTCAATTTGTCTCTGAAAATGTAGATGAGTTGAGGAATAAGATTCTTGCACTGAATTGTGGACTAAAGAAATTTAATAAAGCTTTGTTTTGTTGCTTTTCTTTTATTCTTGTTGCTGCACAGGCGGAGATGATTTAATATTTCTGTTGATTCATAACTTCTTTTTACAACTGAATAAAGTATTTGTGAAGGGTTCAAGAAGTAACAAACGAAGTCAGGTGTTTCTGTTAAACTTTACAAATACAGAGTTCAGTTTTAGGAGAAAAACATATTTTCTAGAACACAGACTGGATTCTGGAATATGAAACTGTGCATATCTTAACGACGAAAATATTCAGTAGTCCGTAGTATAGAAGATTTAGTACCTTCTTAAATTTAGAAAAAAGTAATATAACATTTTTTTCATTTTATTCACCTTTTATGATTATTCTTAGTGCCTATATCGGAGCTTACTGATATCAGTATGGATAAAATACGTATAGTAGGGAATGTTTTTCTTTCGTTTTTCTAAATGATGTAGTAAGTCTTCAATACTTCACTTCAAATCAGCAGTAATGTTTCCAATCATACTACCATTAGCGATACTAGCATTACTTCTCTCAGGAGAAACAAAATGGATTACAGGCAGCGTTAAAACGAAATTATTGCCATCCTCTCTGGCAATTCAACGACTTATTTACGCCCAAATAGAAAACTCGAAGCCACGTTTTAGAGAATTGTGAAATTGAAGTTTCCGCAGAGCGAAATCATAATTATATTTTTCAAGTCTAATATCTCAAATGCCCAGAAAAATGTTGAATTTCTCAGACTTTTCCACAAAAATATGTAGGTTTTACGTAGACAGACATCATACGTTGATCTGCCGTTAAAATACAATCACAGATTTAACCAAAAAAATTACAAATCCACATCTAGGTAGGCAAGATCGGAAGCAAGCCTACCCTGCACAGGAAGAACAAGTAGTAGTTCGGTTATTCCTCAAGAATTTTTAAATTGCTTAGTCAATTTTTCGGCCAAGCCAGCCGCTAAGAACCCTTCTGAAAACACGTGCAACAGATGATGAAAAATCCCGGTAAACCCATGAAGATATGATTTAGCAACTTGGCACCGCACCAGCAATGCTATTATTACTATAGAAGCTTTGTTAAAACATGACATCATGGAGTGCATTTAATATACCGTACTTGCAATGTAAATAATTCCTGTCAATTTGATCGTGTTCTATTCTACAAGTGAAGGGCATCTTGCCGCTGTGTGTTCCACATGCATCATTTGGATGATTCAATTCTAGTCCATGGCAGTCAAGGATCAGAGAATTCTTCTACATCATTAACAGCTCAAGTTAAATATATATATATGGAGAGAATAAGCAGTAAGTATCATTCATATGTTTTGCTATTGTTGTTTAAATTCTTTGGTTGCTAAGGGATCCACTTCGAAATGTCAAAATTACTTGAATAAAAATAGCAACAGGCATGCTCGTGCAACACTCTTCACTAGGTAGAGAGAATGAAGAGGTAATTTGGATTTAAAATTTAAAGGCTGAAGAGGTTACCACAAGGATGACCTTGGCAGAGAATTAAATTCTTCATGCTCAAGATCAGACAACTCTCTGCTGCCACCTCCACTGGTAACAACCACTTTGCTTTCAGCGTCTGTAGTTCCTTTGCTAACATTTTCTTTGACTCTGCCAGTATCATGATCTTCGCTTGCATCAGAACTGTTTGACACACAGTATTTATGCAGCCATCTATCTGTTTCCCAAAGGACATGCATGATGCTTTCTCTGGCAGTATAACCATGGCTCTCATAAGGCAGAATCACCAGCCGACAAAGAGCACCGTGACCCTTCAGAGCGTTGAAAAACCTGTCTGACTACATTGTGGGACAAGGATAGAAGCAGCAAGCAATTGTCTAAAGTGAGGATTGTTTCTTCCAAAATACGGCAATAGCCAATTATTTAATGACAGTTTATGAGAATAGCTGAGGTGGGAATTCCTCTCTTACCTGCATGGTTAAAGTTCCTGAGTTGTTATCCTCTTCCCCATGGATAAGCAAGATAGGCTTCTTAATTTTATTAGCCGACATGAAAGGACTCATCTCCACATAAGTATTAGTGGCCTCCCAAAGAGTTCTGTCTTCATTCTACAGAAAGAAGTGGAATGTAAGATGCAAGGCCTTCATTTCTAAAAAACACTCATAAGGTAACATGTGGTACGAGGAATAAAGTTTGAAAGGAGATCAAAAGGAATTGTGAGACAAAAGAAAAAATTCCTGGAAAGCTAGCCATTGGAAGAAATAAACCAAGCCATTATAGGCAGTACCTGAAAACCAAAAGGAGTAAGCGTTCTGTTGTAAGCGCCGGAACGAGCAACTCCACAACAGAAAAGATGAGGTGCATGTGCTAGGAGGTTGGCAGTCATGAAAGCACCATAGGAATGTCCACCAACAGCTATTTTCTTTGGATGAGCTACCTAGATGTGACAAGCCAAAAAGGCTTGACTCAGATCATAATTCTATTGGATTGATAACTTTATATAATCCATACAGTAAAATAAAAACCTTACCCCACGCCGGATAACTTCCTCCACTGCAGCCTCTGCACTTGCAACTAATTGCTCTACATACCTGGTTGGTAGATATTTAGTTTATAATCAGATAAACTCTAATGCTTTATTAATTATGCAGCTTGACCAAAAAAAAAGAGCAAGCAGGAGAAGAAACCCACAAAAGAAACCACAGCATCACATGCATCCAATATTTCAAACTCCAGTTTGAGGAGAAATGAGAATGAAGATGAGGAGATTACTGATGGTTGTTAAGAACAATAATTTAGTGATCAGTATATGGTAAGGATCCCACAGCTATAACATATCATTATCAACTTACCTATCATTTGCCTCCTCATCACCCTCACCGATAATAGGAATGGTAGGCCCAGATAGAATTGCAAACCTGCAATATTCGAAGTCATCGAAGAACAGTCCAGCTAATTAACATAAAAAATTATTGAATGGGGAACAGAGCAGCTAAGTCAAATAATGCTAAATCACAAATTGCCAAACAACACATAATTGGTAAAGACAATTCAGACCTTCTAGCCAGCCAAAGAAGGGCTGATGTGGGACCTATGCCAGCAAATTCATTTGGAGAACCACGAACTTGTCCAGCAGCATCCTTGCTCTTAAATTCTCCTGGATAAGACCAAACCAGACATGGCAAAGGGCCATCTCTTGATGGATCATAGTCTGGTGGCAGGTATAACGTAGCAGTAAGTTGAACCCCATCTTTTCTTTGATACCTGACCATCTCTTTCTGCAATGATGTAAGCTGAGGGTATGGATGAGGGAAATTTGTAATCTGAACTAATTTTTTATCTGGCCAGCTGACAAAGTAATATTGAGTGTTTTCAGTTTTTGACTCTTTTGAAGTCAGTATTTTCAGCTTATCTAAATCCAAATCCCCTTCTTCCTGATCAGACATTAGAGCAACGACAGTTTCATAATACTTTTCCTTATTGCTCTCCCAGATTCGTTCCTTATTACCTGTATTACTGTAACATTGTTGTTCAAACCACAATAGCATAAATGAGAATGTGTGAGAGCATACTAGAAACAAGTGATTTAAGACACTTACATGTCAAACAGATCAAGGAATGGGACATTCCCTTCTGGTGTAGCACCATTTCCATTCAGTATAATGTATCTTCTTTCATCACTGTCCTTCTTTATCTTGGCAATAATATACGTCCCAGCTTGAGTTCTCCGCATCATGGGAGAACCAGGATCAGAGTACACATCTTCTGAAGATCGATCAAATAGGATGTGTGGGGTCACATCTTGAGATCTAGGAGAGATTACCCATGTTCTTATTCGGCGTGTTTTATACCAAGATTCATATACCAAAGCCAGTGAATCATCACACCAAGAAATACCTCTGTAGATATGGCAAACAGGAACATCAACCAAGATTTTAGGTTTTCTTTACAAAGGGTTTAGAAAGATTTTAGTTGCACTGCATCCAACATATCTCTCAAACCTCACCAACAAAAATAAGGGGACAAAAAGAGAGAATTTTACCGTAAACATGGTAAGGAATTTTCTTAAGAAATGCTACATAGATGCTCATGGCATGAGATGGATATAAATACAAATAACAAGCCAGACTATTCTTTGCAAGAATGATTATGAGTCCAGTGTATTAAAGTGGCGTGCAAACCAAATGTCGGTCATGATGATCAGGCAAGAGAATAGATATAATAGCAAGTACAATATTAGGATAGATAATTTGAAAATGGTCAAGATATGGCACTGAAACCAGTGTCAACTATAAACCTCGGCAGTTTGCAGCACATTAAAAATACTAAGAAGGAACAACTGATTTTGGAAAAGGATCCAATAATTTCCAAGTATGCCATTGTGAATACACTGACATGTAGATAAATATAAAGAGAGGAAACCAATGTAAATCAATAATTTTTATCCGTACCCATAGCGGAGATCGAGCTTGTGTAATATCACTGGCTGTTCACCTTCTAGTGGTTCAGCAGGCTGTGCATAAACTATATCACGAGGAGAAATTTCCACCTTTGCATCACCTCCATCTTGAGTTTCCACCCTAGAGACATCAAATGAAGCAATTTTAAAAGATAAGGAAAACACAAAACAAATGAACATATAACAAATGTGACTATAAAACCAACAACGTAAATGCAAGGAAAAACATTCAGCTTCTTATAATGAATAAAGGAAATCTAAAATTTGATTGGGAATGAAGGATGAAACATCTAGTTAAGAAAAGTGCATGAAACGAGAAAACCAAAAAATATCCATAAAAGGGGAAAGAAGATATGGTCAGTGAAGAAAAATGCCTTAGGTAAACCAACATTGACCAGCAACATGAGTTCTTTAGTAAAAAAAATAACAAAAATCTATATTTGAATGCCTGAACATAATATTCCATAAGCACAGACCCTCAAATATATATGATGCAAGATCAACATCCTATGTTCCTTGGCAGGGGAGGCTATGGATGTACTTTCCAGTAGTGCGAGTGCAAAATATTCTGGAAATGTCATAATTAAACTCTTAATCAATAACAATAAACAATTCCACACTTATAATACACACATCCAGTCTGTTTGTGCCCTTCAAGTGGATAATATGAATGTGTAAGGATACATGCACACAGGCATACTTAGCTATGCACAGGAATGATTGCTCTTATAAACTGCACACTTAGTACTATTTACATGTCAATGAACTTCATCACTGAAAACACAGCTGGGAAATTTAAGTTTTCAAGCACTTAAGAATTTTAAGAGAAAAATAATGAAAACAATAAAAAATGCATATTTAAAATGTACCCCAGCTGAAAATATAAGTTAAAAACTCAGATCTGTACCAGTAAAGTGATGATGGCTTGTCCGCTCTCCAATTAATGGAACGCATCCCTTTTCGAACACTATTGAATGCAATTGGAATGTCCTCAGCAAGGGGCAAGTCACAAAGCTCCCTGACTACTTTTCCATCAGCACTCCACAACTCTACCTTCTTTGGAAATCTTCCACAAGGTACAATAAAAGAGTATGGCCTGTGAATTGAACTAATCAAAATGTACTTATGATCTGGGGAAGGGTCCATAGAAGTATAAACAGCTGGTGGGCCAATATCCTTTGTAGTACCATCCAAAGAAGCTAAAACAAGCTGCGAGGTTGCATAGTAGTCAAACAAATCTTCATCATATTCATCCTTCAGCAAATCCTGAAATGTTCTTACTTGAATAATGTTTTTCTCCTCATTAGACTGAACTTTTGGACCACCGGGAACCAAAGGTTTCTTTGGTGGAGCTCCACGGGATGATGGAATGGTGGAAACTAACAACGAAGAGTTACCTACCCAAACATAATTATCAAAAACTGCATTCAAATGTACATTAGGTGACTGAAATAAAGGTCTAGCTTTCCCTGTTTCCACATCCGCAATCCATACTCTGAATTTACTACTATCACTGTTCTCCTCATTCACACGAATGCTAAAGGATAAATGCCAACCATCAGGAGACCAACTTACAAAATTTATCTTCGCACCATCAGGGAAACCATGCACCTCCGTCTCCGGGCCCAACGTACCATCAGGAAGAATTTGATGGATCCCTACACCGGTGTAGAATGACATACGACTCCTAGAATTGCAGTTTCCATCAATACGTATACCAGCCAACTTTTCCTCTGGCCTTGCTAAATCTGCTAGTGGAGGTAAAGCTCTTCGCTTTAGAAAAATAATCTTGTCCCTACGTGGTGAAAATGACAATGCAGGAACTGGTGGAGCATCAACAATGTCCTTGATATCAGGTGGAGGATCTCGATACTTTACTCCTGAAGTTGACTCATCTAACATCAATCAATCAAAATAAATGTCAGCCACTAGAAACAGTGATGTAATCTAAAGTTCTAAGAAATAATATAGATATGGAGGGATATGGATTTGACAACTGTGTTCAAATCCAATCAGAAGCTCAAAATACTATATGCAGTATTTGACTGAAAATGAAGGGAATCTCATCACTTCATGTGCCAAATTTTTCAGGAGTTTAAACTTTAAACATTGTTGATGTAAAACTCTACACTGTCAGTGAAAATAAGGTGACACATCAGCGGATTAAATAAAATATTTCACTATTTGTAAAACATTTTAACTAATTTTAAATCGTTCACTAATACGGTTAATAGTGTATTAATTATCAGAAATTTTACTCCATATGATCGATCAACAGTATGAACATGTATTAAAAGATTAACAGCATCATCAATACTTGACGCTTAAAGCCAATCAGCATATCAGTTTTGCAATAAAACCTCTAACTGTAAAAAAGTAAAGAAATGCATCTTGAGCTAACCTTCGTAATCAAGGGAAGTAGCGGCGGTAGCAGAGGAAGAAGTGGAGCCATTGGAGGCACCGCCAGCGCCGTCTTCAGCAGGGATAGCACCGAGAGGTGCTAAATTGCGCAATCGCGAGGTAGCCATGGAAGAGAAGTTAGGAGCGATTCTGTTATGAGGTGTGAGGCGCAGTGAAGAAGCAAGAGGAAGAAGAGAACAATTTGAAGGAAGCGATAATGGCGAAAAAGGAACAAGAGTGAGGCGATGGTATATTTTTTGAAGTCGCATCATTGATAAAATAATAATTCTATTCCTCTTTGATATTCTCTCTCTCTCTCTCTCTATCTACTCTCTATTTCCGTCCATATACACGCTGCTACTCATGCTAACTAAGTAAAGGAGACCCCGTTAGAAATAAATAAAACATACAATGGAAAAATTAATTAATTGGTCCTATGCAAAGAAAAAAAAGTACCATGAAATAAATCATTCATTCTCAATAAAAAGTGTAGCCAGTTTATTTGTGTTGTTTTTTTAAAATAATAATTAAAAAAATATGTTTACTGAATTTTATAATTATTAATAATTTAAAAATAATATTTTAATATTTTTTTGCAAGTTAAAAAAATTAAAAATTAAAGTATACAAAAACAAATTAAGAAAAAATGAATTCAGTTTTAATCTTACTCGATTTATAATTTAATAATGTAATTTTAACTTCATATTCTCTTTAAAAAACGAATATTGTATTACTTTTTAATTTCAGATTAAATAACAAAAGTAATAATAAATTAGTAAAAGTTTGTAATATTTAATGTAATGTCTGTGATTTTAAAAAGAATGTGATGTATTTTTTAAAAAGAGAATCAACGTGGGCCCTATACTTTAGTTAAATGTAAGTGTTTAATAATTTATTAAGAATGGTTTGGTAATAAAATATTCTAGTAATGCATGATGCGAGATTATACGTGGTAACTTTCATTTTGTTATAAAAAAAAATATCAAAATTGTTATCAAAAAATAAAAAAAAATAAAAAAATATCAAAATCCTTTTTTTTTTTTTTTTTGGGTAAGCATCAAAATCCTATTTTTTTAAATAAATAATTGGGTCATTTATAATTTTTTAAACCTACAAAAATGTAGAGGAAGAAATTAACTTAAAAAGTTATTAAGTTTACTATTGGGTCATTTATAATTTGTTTACATAGTGCAATTCAAAAAAATATTTTAAAAAAATGTTAAATTTTAAATGAAACTTGTTTACTAATCTTTGTAAGTTGATTAGGCCTTATTTTAATCCTCTTTTAATTTTTATTTTTATTTTTTTGGTGGATGAATCCTCTTTTAAATTAAAAAGTATTGTTGGAATCTCATAAATCTGTATTCTCTATAATTTAGCGGTTTAGCACTTTAGCCCATCAAGGTACTGCACATTATGGGATGTTCTTTTCTTGTTTTTTTGGTAAAAACATTATGGGATGTTCTTACCCATATTGATTGTGACACAAAAATTACTCAATCCATTATTTATTTATTTATTTTAATAAATCAATCCATTATTCTTTACTTATTCTTTACTTTAGCCCATCAAGATACTGCACATTATGGGATGTTCTTTTCTTTTCTTTTTTTTGGTAAAAACATTATGGGATGTTCTTTACTTATGCGGTCAAACGAGCCAGCTCGCAGGTTGGGTTTCTTTTTATATAAAAAAACCCCAAAATATATTATACAAAAATGGACAAAATTCATACATATTGTTATCATTTTTCTTCCTTCTCTAAACCTAAGTCCCTAATCTTCTCACATCCCTGCCATTTTTATATTGTTAGGTTGTGTTGGCTCTGTTTGATTCAAATATCTTATCCACTTGGTAGCAAGTGGTTCTGATTGTTTCTTGATGTTGATGCAAATTTGTTGTGAAGAAAATTTGAAACTAAAATATTTTACTTTTATTTCTCATTTTGTAACCCTTTGTTTAAGCTGATGGAAGCCACATAGCTGGTGCATTAATACAATAGGGTCATTTAAATAGACTGAAAACGAGCCAACTCGCGAGCTATTTTCGAGTCAATCCGCGAGCCAATTTTCGAGCCAACTCGCGAGCTATTTTTTCAAATCAACCCGCGATCCAACCTAACCCGACTCGAGTCGGGTTGGGTTGGATTTTCTGACTCATTTTTTTTTTTCGAGTCAACCCTAACCCGACTCGTTTTTTCGGGTTGAATACGGGTTGGGCTGGGCCGGGCCGAGTTAGCCCGTTTTGTCAACCCTAGGCTCAATAAGCATGTCTAATTTCTAGCTTTAGGCTTGACTCGATGGCCAAATAATTATGTTTTAAGTTTTTGCATGTTTCATTAGAACTTGAATAAATATTTTTTATTTTTTTAAATGGTCTATATTTGAAGGAATAGGATATTGTAACAACCAATTACGATTACTATCTATCAATATTACTATCAATCAATTTCACCGTTAGATTGATTATCTTGATCCAACAGTTATATTTATTTTCATCTTTGTATGATTATGATTTTCTATATTTAATGTTAAATATAGAAAATCATAATCATACAAAGATGAAAATAAATATAACTGTTGGATCAAGATAATCGATCTAAAAATGAAATTGATTGATAATAATATTGATAGTAATCCTAATTGGTTCTTACAATCTCCTACCCCATCTTTGAATGTGTTTGAAGGTCAATTTGTTAATTAAAAAAAGAGGTAGGCCATATAAATTATCCGTTAAATCTGATGAATCCGAAAACTTGTCTATTTGTCACTAGCTCCTACGATTTCGAATTCTTGGATTTATATTCTTTTATCAAAAGTCCAATTATATTTTAGTAATACGATAATAGTCCAAATAATTTTGGGTTAGAAGTTACAACATATAAATAATCCTCGAACCCTCAGACATAAGCCCACACATTCCTCCACTTCCCATGATCTAGAATAGCCTGGATCACAACACCGGCAACAAGGACGGATAGCTCATGTGTCTGCATTACAAGAGATATATTTTTATATAACAAACATTCATTGTTAATTTCAAACCACAATCTTTTCGGCTCGTCCAATTGCTCCTCCACTTCTCGTCCAGTTTCTTAGTTTCCAGTCAGGTAAATTCCTCATTTATTCATCCTCTCAGAACTTTGCGCTGTGTTGTGTACATATGTATTGTTGTTGTCCATTTTAATATTTTGTGTACTTGTGTCTTTGTTTACCTTAACCATTTCAATATTTTTATGTATGTGAACCTGTAGATGGTAGAGACGAGAAAAATATTAAAAATATGAGCATACGGATGCTTACCAGATAACTTGATTTGGTCCAATGCTAATTGAATCAGTTTCAGGTTATAAAACATGAGTTTTTTTTTCTTTATCAATTTTCGGTCATGTTTTCGTTTGGCCCAATGCAGCCAGAAAATATTATAAAATTTATAAAAATAGTAATAAATTATATGAAAAAACATTTCTTCTTTTGAATAGAAATTCTTTTTCTGCCATATTTATATAAAAATAAGCAAGTCTCATTATATATAGAAGAAAATAATGAAATTCACTTTATTTTTTTTTACGTGTGACAAAAAAAAATTTTACAGAGCAAAAATAGAAATATTACATCCTAAATTGTATGGATCTGGATTCTCTTACGTGACTATATCATGTGATACAAAGGTGGATCTAAAATGTTATATTAGAAAATTATAAAATCATAACTGTTGATAAATTTTATATAATTGTGAGTTTTTCACGTGATATGGTCATGTAATTTTTTACATAAGAAGATCCATTTCAAAATTGTAAAGTTTTTATTTAAAGATAATTTCGAATGTAACAAAATTATCTTATTCTGGATTCTACGTGGAATATCATAATTGGTTGCAATCGGATAAGAAACATGTGTACACAAATCCTTACCAGCCTCAATTTATAATATGTTCGGTCCTTCTGATCCAATCTGATCCAGAAATATCATCATAAACCCACCCACAAGAGAAGAAGAAGAAGGTGAACGAACAGCACAGAGGGAAAAGAAGAAGAAGAAGAAGAAGAAGAAGAAATGGCAACGATAGCAGGTCTGAGCCTGTCAAACCCCAGGGTTACCTTCAAGGCATCAGGTTCGCTGCAAAATGCCCAGGCCATCAAGTTATCACCACCACTACTCAGGCGAGGGATGATCGGGTCGGGTCGGATGGTGGTGGCACGACCCGTTCGTGCTGCGCCAGAGAGAATATCGGAGAAGGTTGAGGAGAGCATTAAGAATGCGAAGGAGACGTGCGCGGAAGACCCGAGTAGCGGCGAATGCGTGGCGGCGTGGGATGAGGTGGAAGAGCTGAGCGCGGCGGCTAGTCATGCAAGGGACAAGAAGAAGGAATCCGACCCGCTTGAGGATTACTGCAAGGACAACCCGGAGACCATTGAGTGCAAAACTCATGATAACTGAGTCTGATCTGAGAGTCCTATTTTTAACTAAAACTGTTACATGATATGATTATGAACCAGATTTGTAATGTTTTTTTTAGCATGATCCATGGCATCTTAAGAAGTGTACCAGCTCTCATCATAGATTCCTAGGAACTTCTGTTTTAATCAAAGGGAAATTATCAATTGTGTTGTCGTTTGTTTGTTTTTTTTTTTTTTTTTTTTTTAGTGTTATGATGTCGAAGAACATGGTATCTGTGGTTAGGTCAAATTGACGAAAAGAGATATCAGATGTGCGAAGTTAAGATCTATTTAGCAGCTCAGCGTTTGCCATTCACTTTTGTGTAATTCGTTTATTATTCAATAATTTTGGAATGAAAACCTAATATGTTGGATCCTTGGTCTGGCTCCTTAGTGGGAATATCTGGACAATTCTCCATTCTATGTCCATATTTTCCACAACCGTAACAGATGAGATGTAAGCCCTCGTATTCTATCTTCTTTATTTTTCCTTCCACTTTGTACTCTCCTTGAAGAGGTTTCGTGAGATCCAACTCAACACACAATCTCGCAAACCTTCCCCTAGCAAGTGATGTGGTAGCTGCGTCAATCTTCACAAATTTCTCTAGCCAGTTACCAATGCTTTTAACCAGTGGCGGAGCCACTTGAAAGGTAGGTGGTGCCTTGGCACCACCTAATTTTTTAAAATGGTATAGATTTTCTTAAATTTTTTTTTCATACAGCCTTTATATTAGTTGGATTTTTAAAAACAATATAACTTTGGCACCATCTAATTCTATTGGCTGAATCTTTTGGCACTACCTAACTTTTTTCTCTGGCTCCGCCACTGCATTTAACCAACTCCGTATTCACGTACTCTATAGGAAACTCAGGAAGACGAATCCAAGCTATGACCTTGTTGATCGTAGCATGAAAAGGTTGGAAATCAGGTTCCCAAGATCTAATTGCTAGATAGTGGTCAAAGATTACCCATGGCCCTGCCGTGAACGCAAACTCCATATCTTTTTTATTCTCAAACCGAACTAGGAATATTCATTCTCCAGGTCAGTCACAAAGATTTGACCCTCCCTTACCCACATATTTTCCAGTTTTTTCCTCATGAAAATTAGAGATACCTTCTTTCCTAATAACTTCACGAATATGGCTTGATGCCAATTCTTCCAAGCTCTTTTTTTAAATTCAGTCGACAATCTGAAATTCATCATGCCATCCGCATCTTCCTCACACATAACATCTGGTTTGTCCTTCAGATTTTCAAAATTTGGCTCTTCTGGTTGTTCCTCCATTTTCTCTTCATTCTCCTTTTCAAAATCATCTTCCCATTCTCCATTGTGACGCATTAGGATTTCCTTGAATGATGCGTTTCCAGACATCCAGTCTTCATCCCTTGGAGCCCTGGTCTGGTCCTCGTAAAAAACTCCATCTCCCCCTTGCTTTTTTTTGTACTCCTTTGAAGAATATCCTCCTCCTCTGAGGAACGAGACTGACCCGCCGTCGTTGACATGCTCTAAGGTTCGCTGCGCACCTCGCCTTTCTCAATCTTCGGGTACTCTTCTGACGTGCCTTTCTTTCTTTTTCCAAAGGTTATTCCTTTTTGTATTGTACTGACCATTTTTTTATTTTATTTTTGAAAAACATTGTATACTAAGAGATAGAAGGAGTCTTGATTCATGGGTAATCACCATATGCAACACTTGTATCACTCTCTATCAAATTAAGCAGTATTACATCCTTAGCAATTTCTCTCATCTAGGACTCTTCAAAAGATATGGCGTATAGCCACACATTTTAACAAGTGTAAAATTAATCTTATGTTACATAAGATAGTGTATTTTATGTTGTGAAACAAAATTAATTATAAGGTGAGACCCATCTTGATTTTTTTTTAGTGGGTCCCACCTTGATTTTATTTCACAACATGAGATACATTATCTTATGCAACATAAGATTAGTTTTGCTCTTTTAACAATAATCTTAAAAATCCGGAGAATATTTAAAATAATAATAATAATGTAACTTTGCTACGCAAACTATTGAAGAATGATATATGCAGACATATCGTCTATATTCTATATAATTATAGAATTTTTTTATGAATATTTTAAATTAATTTATTAAATATTGAAATAATTCTTATTATTAAGAAAATATAATTAGAATAAATTCTATACGTCTATTTTTTATTAATATTTTAATCTTATATGTATATATTCTTTCTATATTAAAATAATATGTATGCTTCCAATTAAAGATATATGTATTCTATTAAGAGGAAGATTATACTTATAATCTATTTTTATTTACAATCTTTACAACCATAATCTTAACCGTTGATTTCCGCCAATCAACGATTATTATTTTCGTAAATTAAATTTATTAATTAATTATTAATTCGCAATAAATTATAACCGTTAATTGACGGAAATCAACGATTAAGATTATGGTTGTAAAAGATTGTAAACAAAAATAGATTGTAAGTATAACCATCCTCTTCTATTAATCTATTAGTGCATGTCTATAAATATTAAGAATATTCTTCTGTTAATATTAATAACATTTGTAAAATGTTTAGAAATTAATATGAAAAAAATATCCAAATTGAATATTAAAAAAATTCTATTTCTATTCTATTTTTTCATAATCTTATTTATTATATTTGATTCTATTTGTATTATTATCATATTCCTTAGATTTTTTTTAAAAAGAATTTTACGATGTATCCTATTAAGTATATGAGATAATTAGATTTAGAAAGAAAAAAGAACGGTGAGAATTAAACTTACCATAAATATAAACCTTCCCAAAAAATACAATTTTTAATTTGACGTATCTATCTATTAAATTACCATAATTAATTTATTCAATTGACATACTTAACTGATTTATAGATGATATAAAAATAGTAATCAATATCAAATTCAATGTTAATATGAATCAATATTTGTAAAACCCGATCAATCAAATATAACATATATTTCTCAATTTTTATATTTCAAAATACTCTTTATAAGGAGTAGAGGCATGAGTGTTAGCCTAGCTACTTTTTCAACTTTGAAGCAAAGGACATCAAAATTACATGCGAGAGGTACGTAAATCCTGCTTTAGCATTGCTTCAATTACCTCTTTGATAGGAGTGTATCAAACAGTTTCTCACATCATAGAGTGTGCTATCAATTTATTCATATGATTCATGCCTCTCTCCCTTCCTTTAAAATTGTGTTAATATTTTTGGTATAGTAACGTTTTTGCTTATTTATTTTCTCAATTTTCAGATTTATACAAACTACATCCCCGAGGGGCCAAGCATGGACTTTAATGGCAAACGCGTCAGAAAAATGGTTTTCATTCTAACTTTATCACTCTGGTTTTGCGAATTACCAAACATGTTTTTTTTTTGGGTCCGTCGCTTCTCATGTGACTGCTGATGAGAAAAGTTGCAGCAAATTTTTAACACTAGGATACATGTGCGGATCCTAGGATACACGTGCGGATTCTATAAACAAAAAACAAAAAAAACAAGGATTTGAACGCGTATCCTGTGTTGCTGCAAGTTTTCCTTTCTGCAATCACATAAGAAGTACTTTCCCCCTCTCTTTTTTTGGTAAAATGTTTTCTTTCACTTCACCAACTCTATTTATTAATTGTTTCGGTTAAAATTACTGTGATTCATTTTAATTTTGTTTTATATCTTTTATAAGGAATGCTTACTTAAAATTGATACTTCACCTGGGTGGGAAAAGTCCGCCACTAAAGTTTTGAAGATCTTTAAAGGTTTTATACACATTTACCTTTTGCATGATAATTTAAAATTTTGATGAAAAAAGAGTACCACATTTTTAAATTTATGGTTTATTGATTTACTTGCTGATAAGATGATCACCATATGCTGATAATTTTAATTTGCTACTAGCATCATATATTATTGTTCTTTACATTATCCAACAATCAAAACAAAATAGAAAATAAAAAATGTTGGCCTTTTTAGTTTTTCTTAATAGTTTGCCTCTACCATGTATTATTTTATACTGCAGAATGTATAATTGTATATCTAAATTGAGTATCAACTAGTTTTTATTAGTGTAAAGAACCATTTGAACTAATTCACAAATTTAATTCTAATCATGTTATTAGAAACATATATCTTTTGGGTACAAGACTAGTGATCATAGTATGTCACTGTGTTCAAATAAAAGTAGATACTTGAAAAATATTGGAACTAACAATTATTAGAAGTTTCATGATTCCCCTTTATAATTGATATAGTCATCGTTGTGCCATTTTCTTCAAACTTTGATTTTGTAAAGTTAAAAACAATGTTTTATTAAATCGTTGCAGTTTATTACTGCAAGTTATAGAAGAAGAAGAAAAGGATATCTCTTGCATATTTTTGCATTTGGATAAGATAAACATTAAAATACACTTTGGAGGAAAAGTTTAATTTGAAATTTTTACTACATTATTGAAAATTCTATACACACTTATTCTGCATTTATAATTGTTTATAACCTTCATTTTGTATTTGTAATACTCAATTTATCATATTACAATTTCTTTCCTTGTACCTTTACCTTTGGTGACATTTGTAGTGATTTATTCAAAAGATTTCTCAGATTCTCATGATTTTTCTTTTTCTTTGCCAGACCTGAGTTGCAATATCGATCCATCCCGTGGGTTTATTTATGTAAGAGGTAATTATACAAATCCGGCATACATTTTGAAGTGGATAAGGAGAGGTGGCAAACATGCTACAATTCAATGGATTCATTATGATATTCCAATAGATGATCCATACCAATTCCTATATCCTGATCCATATCATCAGTCAAGATATCCTCATGTCCCTTATCATCAATTCAATCTTCCTTACTATCCTGGGTATAACATGGCACAAAATGGTCTTCCATATCAATTCAATCCTCCATACTATGGATCTTACAATCCTGGGTATAACATGGCACAAAGTGGTCTTCCATATCAATTCAATCCTCCATACTATGAATCTAACATGGGACAGGGTAGACTTCCCAACAGACAACATGCTCTTGGATATGAATCTAGTGGATCCATTGAAAACAGCTCGATTAATTCAAGCATTCAGCTAGAAACCAATGATCGAGCAAACAATCTACATACATATAAGCAATCATTTTGGACATCCACTAAAC